CCGGATACAGCAACCATCGATTCGTCCATAAACACCCGGACACGAATCCAGCCTAACCATCCATCATCACCCGGGTATCGGTTAACGGCAATACAAGTCAAATTCCACACAATGGGAATTAACTTCACCAAAACAATGCATATGCACGCACATCACTAGCATGCAACATCAAATCAGTCTATGAAATACATCAATTTATCATAACTGAACCAAAACCAAAAACATGATATCTCAACGATCACGCACACCATCATTAGCAACATAAACATGCCTTTCATTCACACAATACTAATACATCCATCCATCACAGGTTCACTGCTACATACACACCCTTGTGCGTTAGCCAATAATCACTTATTCCGGGATTTGACTCATTTTCAAAATAATTTCAGGTTTTAGGAAATCTTTTCATTTTATAAAATAAAGCATTAAATTTAAGAAATAATGTCCAAAACGGCACTCAAAACGGATTTACGGTTTGAAAGTTATGAATTTTCAAAGTTTAATATTTTTCAAAAAGTTACAGCAGAACCCGGTTCCTACATATGCAGGAACCGGTTCCTGCGAAGTTCAAAAATCACGCTTCTGGAAAAATGTATGGGAACCCGGTTCTTACCTATACAGGAACCGGTTCCTACGTGCATTTTTGCCAGTTTTTATAAATTCACACAGTGGAACCCGATTCCTCCCAACTGGGAACCGGTTCCCACGACCTGCAGAGTCAAATTCTACACTTTTGACAGCATTTATTCATTCTAAACCAATTCCAAACATACCCATACGAATTGCAACATGAGAAACACCAAAGCACATCCATTTTGCACCATTATAACATCAAACAACATTATTTCATCATTCATTTTTATCATCTGACACCCTAATGGTTTTCAACCTACAATTCGATGCAATAGGGACAATTCTACGGAACCCTAGAATTCCAAACCGGGATTCCCTAACATACTATGATTCATACTATTGAATATCTAAACTGATAATACGAATTAACTAATCGAAATCACCCCTTACCTTGTGGGTTCTTCGAATTCTGACGCTTCCGGTTTTCTCCTTCTTTTTCCTCTTCTCAAATGCACATATGATGAATATTCTAAAATAACTCTCTTTCTCTTCTTTTTCCTTTTAATACTCCTTTTATTATTCCAATAAAATAATTAAATTAGTAATTAGTAAGAGTAGAGTATTTTACCCCTCACACCATCTAATCACTCTTCACACCACCAATACTTCTTTCCCTTAATTAATTAAATTAATTCCAATAATCCAAAAATACCAATAATTAAATTTCCAATTAAATTAATAATTAAAAATTCTAATTATTTAATAATCGGATTATTTGGGGTGTCACAGGGGACACTGCATGTCGTGGGCAATGGCGGGCACAGTGGCTACAGTCGGTGGTCGGGCAAGTTGGCGGTGGTCCGCTGGTGAGCATTCTCCGAGGAGTTTGTTTGGATTGGGTCTTTATCTGCGCTTTGGGCCAAGGTGGGGCCAGTCCAGAACACTATGTTTAAATTTATTCCATCTCATTCTATTAATTTCTCCAATTTTTTTCCATCTCATTTGTGGTGTATATAATAGAATGAAATCTTTTTAATAAAATAGTCCAACAATAAAGATGTAATCTATATTTCATTATGTTTCGGTCCATTTCATTAGGGTGAACTTGAAATAATATTAAATTAGTGAAATTGTAGTGAAACAAAACATGTGCGACTCTTTTTCAAATTTATTAGGGTGTGTGATTGTCGTGAGACACAAGGAAAAGTCAAAATTTCATAAAGTTTGAGATGATTCTAGGTGTCATTAATTGTAGTTAAGCTAAAATTTGAGCTAAAGTTTAAGATAGTAGAATTGGACTATTTCATAAAATGGATAGAAGCTGAAGTTATCTTCAAGATCACAACAGATATTGTTCATTGTTTATATTAGCAAATATTCATGTGTTGGTTTTATTTTCCATGTGTCATCATTCCAAGCAATAGAACTCAGTTTGTCAATGAAACCATGGTTGATTTCTGTCATGACTTAGGAGTGCAAACAAAGTTTATTTCAGTTGTTCATCCATAAGCAAACAAGTAAGTTGAATAACCAAACAAGGTGACATTTAAGGGGATTAAAAAGAAGTTAGATGATGCCAAGGGACTCCGGACTGAACAATTCACGAAGTGCTTTTGTAATATCATATCACCCCTCATTAGACCACCAAAGAGACTCCATTCACCATGTTATATGGAGAAGACGTCATGTTGCATATCAAAATCAACACACCTTTTTGGCGACACTCTCAGTTCAATGCATAAGGAAACGAGGCATGACTAGGATGTGTCACTAGTCTAATTGACGAAATGAGAGATATCGCCCACATTCAAGAATTCTCACTGTCAAGCAAAGGGCAACTAGAAGTGTCATGTCATTCACACTTAAGAATATATGGGACACATATCAAAGAACCATGAACGTCATCTTCCTTGAACACATTGGTATAAACATGAAAGTTTACTTATATCATGTGGTGCTAAAGTACCGTGACTTACAATGTCACTTCCTGGAGTTGACCTTGAAGAGCTTGGGGTTGCAAACGTTAAAAATGAGTCGTGTCAAGCGTGCATTGGGAGTTTCAGTTGGAAATCTATTAGATTTTCTGGTACACAGTAAAAGGATTTAAGTGGATTAAAACAATGGTAATGATATCTTAGAACCAAGATTTCCTAACACCAATGAAGAGTCGTTGAGTCTATTAGGAAGTATTAATGTCCTGAGGTAATTCATATCCAATTTGATTGGAAAAGTAAAACCTTTCTCCTCATTAATTCAGCTAAAAGATACGTAAAAAATGATATTGAGAGTTGCTCAACAAAAGACATTTGACCATATAAAAGGAACTTTGTCTGATCCATGAGTGCTTGTACCTCAAATGTTAGGTAAACCACTCAAGTTATACATTGTTGCTGAAAAAGAATCTATCGCATTTTTACTTGCACATGATGTCATCGATGGAATAGAAAGAGCAATGTATTATCATAGACAATAACTAATAGATATTGAGACTGGATGCACATCTATTGAGAAACTATATTTATCTTTATCTTATGTTCATATCAAACTTGAATATTATTTATTACCACAAATAGTTTTGGTTTTCTAAGAATGATATAGTTAGATATTTGCTCAATAACTTGACTTACATTACAAGGCCGACTAATGAAATTGGTCATTAAACTTGAAGTCCTTGCATTAATGTATGTGCCCATACACATTATCAAAGGCCAAGCTCTAACATATTTCATAATGCAACATTCTTGTGAGTATGTCCACAAATACAGTTTAAATATCTCCCACATCTCTTCATGAATGAGCTAGACTCGCTTCATCTAAAAATTTCTTCGATTATATATTGAGGATGTGCCTCATCGTGCCATAATATTGTTGGCGTTCTTATCCCAGGCTTCCATTTTGGGGATCTTGGAGATATCTTCCTGATCGAGGAGTTCTTGCTCGATCTTTCTCTTTATTGGAGATCTTGTTTGAAATTATTAAGGGACCATCTTTAATCAATCTTTCAATGTCTTGTTTCAATTAATAGCCCTGATGATTTGATTTAGGACTCGTATGTCATATTCTTTTTGGTGGGTCTGTTAATCTAATGTGTATGATTCTTTAAGAACATGATTTCTCCTGACGCTCAATTAGATTATTGTGGAGTTGCATAGTTTCTTTTATGGTGGTAATTTTAACCATTGTGTTGAGGAACATCATGCTATTTTGGAGAATCATTCTCGTTCTATTATGGTGTTCTCTCTTTGACATCTTGAATTCCTCTCCTATGCATTTCTCTCATCTCCTTTGATATATCATTCTTCACGTTTCATGGTTTGTTGCACGTTAGTCGTTTTCTCTAAAATACGTTCATATTATTTTGAAACGCTCTAACAAATATCTTTTGATTTAGATTTCATAGTCTCTAAATTCCTTTGACATGATATTGTTATTATATCTAAAAAAACTCATTGCTAACATAAATTACTTTTACACGTACATCCAATTAAATAACAATACATTTTAAAGATGGTTTGATTTTACACCCATATAAAAAAGTTTTCAAAGATATATATAGGAGATAAATAGATATATACTCTCCCATCTCATAATAAATTATTCATTTAAAATAAAATAGTATCCAAAAAAAATATTTATTTTAATTTCTAATAATTTTTTTTTAATTCTACCTAATTAATAAAAAATTCTTCATTCACAATACATGATAAAGGACACTATAGTAAAATATTATTTTCTCTTATTTTTATATATTTTTTATGTGTGACATTGTGACTTGAGTCATTCATTGTAGAACAAAAGGAGTAGATATTATGATTTGAATAAATGACATTGTAATTTTTTATTTTTTAATATCCTAAGTACATAATTATTAATCTTTATATATACGATCTTAAAATTCTTTCGGAATATGTTTGGATTGGTGGTATAGAACGAACTAGAATAAAATGAAATGATAACTACTGAAATTCTATTGTTTGAATCAGTAAATAATGAATGTAATGGAACATAATGTGATGGAATTCATTCCATCTAATTCCTCCTATTTTGTTCAATCCAAATTAAAATTTAAGTGATGAAATGAAACATTTTAAATAAAGTAACTAAACAATAGAATGAGATATATATCCAATTCCGCTCTGCTCCATCAATCAAAAGATAATCTCAGAAATACGTGTGTGTGTGTGTGGTTTAATAGTAAAAATTTGAGTCTTAAATATATATTCCCCTCAAGATCTTAGGTTCAAATCATGATAGGCATAAATTATTAGTTAAAAAAAATGATAGCCTCAATAATTTATATAAATGTAATAATTGTAAACTACAAATGGGTCGGGTCGGGTGAATATCCGTAAATGGTTGCTGAGCTCTGAGATGACCCAGAAACAAGACGCTTGTGTGTCGTGAAGAAAGCGAGAAACACAAACATGGCTGTTAGGCAAAGAGCTGTAACAACGCTCCCAAACCTCATACGCAATCTCCGCAACGAACAGCCTCTCAAACTCAAGCCTCCCCACAATCCCTTGCCCTCTCTCCGACGCGCTTTCTCCTTATACGATCAGATCAACCTCATTGACAATATCCCCGAAGACCAACTCCGATTCCAAGGGTACTCTTTCCCTTTCATGCCACATAATAATTTTGATTTTTCTCTCTATTTTGCAAAATGGGTTGTTTCAAAGTTTTGTTTTTTAGTTAATTTTGATATGGGGTTTCAGGGAAGAGACTTGAATGTGAAATGGGTTATTTATTTTGAAAGTGAAATGAAATTGCAGGTTTAATGATACTGGGTTTACTGTAAATGGTGTTGAGTATGAAGGAAGTTTGCTATGTGTTGGAAATTTGATCATGTCTTGGAAACCACAGAAGTTTTCAGAGATCAATGCTGATAGGTTTGTTTCTTCCTTACTTATGCTTTAAATTAGAATACTTCCACTTTCAAACTGGGTTGAATTCTATTGTGGATAGCACCTAATGTGTTAATTATGTTTTTGATTCATGTCATGGATAGAGGTTCCACTAAGTTTTACTTGGCTGTAAACAGACTAACACAATCTTCTCTTTTTATCTGGACATGGGACCGGTTATGCATAACAAGGCTAACATAGGGAGGATTAGTACTTAGTGCATTCATTATCTTTCTTTATTTTGTATATATCATCATTGTTTTTGAGAATGAACAAGCAAAATGGATAGTACAACAACAGTCAAGCCTTTTTCCGGTAGGTGGAGTCTGCCACATGAATCGGTTCTTGCCATACAGTTTTGAAATGTATTAAGTGTTCAAAGTAAACGGTTAACCTCTTAATCTCTCTTAATAGTTTGACCTATAGTTTTCGTTAGTCTCCTTCACCTCTAAGGCTCTAACTACTAAACTACCCTCAATTTGGTGTACTCCTCTTACTGGTACTTGTATGGCTACTTTTCACACATGTCCAAAGAATGTAAGATGGGATTCTATTATCTTCTCTATTGTAATATCCCCATTTTCCGTCATATGATTGTATTCCTAATCCTATTTTGTTTTGTGTAATCTCCTACATGTCCATGATATAACATTCTTATATTGATGATGCTAATTTTACCACTAGAAATGAACAATAAGCTATGTTTAATGGTAATAAATCATTTGATTTATCAGTCCCTCCCAGAAAATAGATGCAAGCATCTCGGTGTGATAATCACCAAACATTCAACGAAACAGCAAGAAGTGAATACATCATAAGTCACAACAATCTACTTGCACTAGTAGATTATATCTTATCTGTTGAATTATATATCTTGCTTTGATATCTTATTTATTTTCATCTTTTTTCTTGTTACAGCTTGTCACTCTTTCAAATTGTCCGCCCTATTCCAGGTTGGTTTTTTCAGTTTTGCTATTCTTTCTTTACCTTGACTTTCTGGTTTTCTCTTTTTGGGTGCAATTCTACGTTTTCTTTCATTTATCCTATTCGGATGCTTTATGGGGACGCTTGATAATGTGTTCTTCTATATATAGATAAAAAATTACTCAATTCATGGTTTACTTTCTAGTTCACTTGGTAAGGGGTTTACACTAATGATCCCTATACATATACTTGTAATTTTTAAGTGTTAAGTTGGGACCTTAAAGCTGACAAGTAATCCCAATGTCTCGATTATTTGAAACAACATGATTCCACTTTTTCATGAACTTGTTAATTCTCTTTTCTATTGTTCTTTCTCTTTTGGATTTAGTGTCCTTTTTAGCTAATTAACTTGAATTAATTACAAGACCCTGCTTTTGATCTATATTAACTGAAACTTGGAAGAGTTATTTGCCAGAGATTTTGATTGTTGGCTGTGGAAGGAACATTCAACATGTTGATCCTGAACTTAGACGGTTTATCCGGTCTACTGGCATGAAGTTAGAAGCTGTTGACTCGGTATATACAATTGCTTTATTTTATGAGATCTAAATTTTACTTCACCTTACATTGTTGGTGCATTCTTATTGTGTTTAACAAAAGTATTTCACAATACCATTCCATTATATTTTCTACATCATTGAAAAAGTTTGAGTATGCTGCTAACATCTATATGTCAAACTTTTTTCAATGACGCGACAACATTGGATCAAAATAAAATCATAGAATGTATATGTTAGCAGAGTCATTTGTTGTATCCTGGATATTATTTTATTTGAATCATGAATGCATAATAGTTATTACTTATATATTATGAGTTTGATAAATTTACATTGGCAGAGTAATCGAGTTTTACACATATGTTTGATCATATTTTACCATCTTGCCACATCATATTGTTGCCTCTTAAAAACTCTTTTACATCGAGACAATTTGATGTAATATGATTAGACGCTTGTGCAAAAGTGGCTTAAAGGTTATTATCCGTAGCATAATTCTCATCAGATAATTCCAAATGTTGCAAGGGAGAAGCTAACCAAAAAGATAATCACTGCCAGTTTGATTGCTTCTCTTTGAATTTTTGAGTGTTATGTTATTTAATTATTTATCATCCATTATTTACAGAGAAACGCAGCGTCAACTTACAACATACTGAATGAAGAAGGTCGTATTGTGGCTGCTGCGCTTCTTCCATATGGAGTTTCTTCATGAAGCTTGGACTGATATTCTTAGCACCTACCCTTCACTCCAAATATGCTCACATTCGTCAGCACTAAAATCTTGCTTAAATCTGCCGGATATGCTTTGATTTTCTATGTAGAAAGTTTTGTCGTTGATTGGACACTGAGTAAATCACATGTGACTGTTGATTCTGTTTCTAACGCAATAATATAAGAATGAGGATAGTTATAATGTATAGAACTGAAGCTCTGACATATCTCAGCAAAGTTGGTTTTTTTCTAGTTGGGGGCAGTTTGGTTTTAATGCTACTTCATTTTGTTAAAGTTATGACTAGTGAAGATATTGAATCATTTCTATTGCTCTCCTCATAGCTATGCAAGCTTATTGTGTATATTCAGATGGTTTTTCCCCAACCTTGTCTACAGCTGAAGTATCATCTACCAATGAGCTATTGTTATTTGTGGCTTGTGATTTTATGGATGAAGTTAGTTAGGAAGTCATTAAGAGGTTAAATCAGTTAGTCCTCTATAACAAAATGTAACCAAGCAGGTAGAAGAAAATGCCAAAGACTTAGTCTAGAATGAAGCTTGTGACCATTTTACATAGACTAAGAAGAACTGGTCTTTTTCCACATGCGCGCTTCTCTTTTACTTTAATCGTACTCTATTCTAGTTCTAGTTGCTATCTAAGGGAGCGTTTGATTTGCAAAACTATAAGTATTGGACAAAACAGTATATGACAGTACAATACAAGATAGTTTTGTGTACTATATTGTGTTTGATAATTGAGGCATTGGACAAGTTTTTTAATCTATTTTCTTTGATAAATTAATATATTGAACACAATAATATAATTTTTGTATATAATAGTTTTTATATATGAGTTTTTTTTTATAAATAATAAGGTATTGAAAAAAAAAACATAAATAAACGAGAAATATGCTTCGGCCATTTCAAATGTCGCATGCATTTAATTTTCAATAATAATGAAACGATTACATAGTAGGAATAAAATTTACATATTATTTAGTTGTCTCCCGAGACTCGATAACGACCAGTGGTTCTGCATCCACGTTCTCATCTAACTCGTGGTGTGTTTCGACGATTTTTCAATTGTAGTTGGGTTGAGGTCTCTGCGAAGTCAATGCTTTAAGGATACATGAAATCCGTCAGATCATCATATCTGAAAGATCTGCTTTAAAACAGTCGGTTACCCATGCTCTCAAAATTTGATTGGCTTGATGGGAGATTGGGTTTCATGGATGGTCGATAACACTGATCATCTGGATAAGTGGGATAAAAAGGAAATGTTTTTGTAATATTATTAATAAATTAAATAAATAATAAACATTAACATTAATATGATTAAAATAGTTTATATAATATAATATTATTATTTGAAAAATACTATTACACAATACTTTTGAAACATATTTATTATATGTTAATAAATGTTTTATATGTTTAATATTATTAATATATTATTTAAATATTTATGTTATATTTAATAAACTATTTATTATATCTTTTTAATTTAAATTGTTTAAATAATATATATTTATATGTTTATAAATATGTTTTAAAATATTTTGTTTATTTATTAATATATATTTCATAAATATTTATTAACAATTTTATTAATTATTAAATAATAAACATTAACATTTTTGCAATATTATTAATGAATTAAATAAATAAAATAAATAATAAACATTAGCATTAACAAAAAAAAAACCAAACAGCGCAATGGCAGGGGTTTAATTTTGATGTCCTGGATTTGACACTAAGATCAAAATATTTTTTTATAGAGAGATTTTTGAAAATTCGTCCCGGGTGAAATAGCTATTAACTTTATAGAAAATGCTAGGATTCAAATGGGATGGAGTTTTTTCAAAACTCGCCCATATGGTAGGGACGAAATAACTATTAATCCTATAAAAAATGTAAGTATATGTAGGAGTGCATATACCATCTCACATGGTTTAGAGGTACTGCACACACTTTGTGAGATGACGCATAAATGCTAATTTAGATGAATGCTTCATCTCATATGCTTCCTTCTTGTTGGTCTTTTTTGAAATATGATTATTTATGTAATTTTCTTCGAAACATGATTATTTGTGTATTCTTTTCAATATCTTGTTATTTGAGAAAAAATTCTATAAAAAATGATATTCTGATAGTTTTTAATAATTTTTGTTTGGAATAAAAAGTTGTCTCATGATTTGATGAGGGACAAAAATTCATATTTTTATTCGATCCTCTTACACATGTTTTGTCCAGTATCCCCATTAATTTTCTCATCAAATAGAGTATAAGAAAAATTGTTCTGTCCAGTCTTTCAATTTTTAACAAATCAAATGCATCCTAAGTCAATAATTAGTTCATACCCTTTGACATATTCGAAAAATTTAAGACATCAACACACGATTTCAAAATTATTTTGAATCTGCAACAATGTAATTTTGATGTTTATGTAAGACTACTAAATAAGCTAACTTAATGGAACATAATGACACATATTTTTTGAATAAAAATAAAGTATTATTTCCATTTAACTGCATAGATTAATTCTTCAAGCTTTGTATGATCATAATAAATAACTCTGTTGCATGGTTCATCTTCATGACTGAATTTAATCCCAGGACATCTGGTTAAACCAGTTTACTGTCATCTTATTAGATAGAATAACACTTATTTTATTCTAAAAGAATAAGTAGCACTTAATTTTTGATGAAAATTACAAAATTAACAATACAATACATGTAAATGCATTTAATTAATTTTGATATATTTTGAGGGACAAGTGCTCAAAAAATGAATGGAAGTACAAATATACCCAATCCGAATTCAGCGTAACGTTTACTAACGCCATCATGTCCACGCTACTTCCATCCTCTTTCATTTCTTCTTCTTCCATATCTCCGATCACTCCCCCTCTCGCTCGCATCTCCCTCCGTAACGCCGCCGTCGTAAGCAACTCTCTCTCTCTCTCTCTCTCTCTCTCTCTCTCTCTCTCTCTCTCTCTCTCTCTCTCTCTCTCTCTCTCTCTCTCTCTCTCTCCTCTCTCTCTCTCTCTCTCTCTCCGTTTTTCTTTGATTTAACCGAATCTGAATTTCCGGTTTCAGAAATGCAATAATGCTGTAGTCTCTTTGAACTCGGCGAACGGAATTCCATATCGTTCCCCTGAACTTTCAGCTAACGGTTCAACTTCGATTCCGAGTTTTCTTGTGGCGCCAAACACTCACATCCATGATCTCGTTAACAGAAATCGTCTTCGGATATTCTCCGGTACCGCCAATCCCGCACTCGCTCAGGTATGATATTTATAAATCCAATTTCGTTACTCTTGTACTTCAATTTTGATTCTAGGTCAAATTTGGATATCTAGCTACAAATTAAATTGAATTGAGATTCAATCTACTATGAAGCACATAATAATTTGAAATAATAGATGTGATTGAATGTAACATCATAACACGTGCAACGTATTCAATCTGAAGTATGAGTGCTTTAAAGGTAATAGAGGTCTGAGTTTGGATTCGCTTCTAGCTTGTAAGAGCTGGTTTGGATTGGTGGTGGACAAAATTGACATAATTGAGTTTGGCAGAATTGAGTTTAACAAAATTGAGTTTATCAAAATTGATTTAGGTTTTTGACTACATTTATGTAAAAGTGAGTTGAACAACAAATTTCATTGTAAAAATCACATTAAACTCAAAAGCTACAAATTCTAGCTTCAAGTAGAATCAATTCTAAAGGCTGAATTAATTCTACTTTAGTAGAACCAAACACCTCAAAATCACTCCAGAATCAATTCTACATCTTTAGAATTGCTTTTGCCTCTTCCAAAAAGTTTTCATTATGGTTCTTTATTGGCAAAAAAGTCTTCATAAACTTATAGGAGAGTTTATAAGGATGTTAATTGAAAGAGTTTTTTGAATAAATTGAGGCGTAAAAGCTATTTTCGACTTACACATAAAAACTATTGTTTATACTAGTAGATAAGGCCAGAAAAACACCATGTCCTCGTAGAGATGTTTGGATTCCAAACTGAATCATGATATAATATGATTTTGGTTAATAAAGAATGTGTAATGAACTTGTGAATTTATATACTTTTCTTGTTTACTAATGATATTTAAAATTTTAAGTTATAACACTAGATACTATCTGTTTGCTTACTAAAATTTCTGATTTGCACTTAAATAGGAAATTGCATGCTATATGGGCCTGGATTTGGGCAAAATTAAGATAAAGCGTTTTGCCGATGGTGAGATATATGTCCAACTGCAAGAGAGTGTCAGAGGGTGTGATGTGTTCCTTGTGCAGCCCACGTGTCCCCCAGCGAATGAGAATCTTATGGAGCTTCTCGTAATGATTGATGCCTGTAGGAGAGCTTCAGCCAAGAATATTACTGCAGTCATTCCGTATTTTGGATATGCTAGAGCTGATAGAAAGGTCTGTTTGTTGGCTTTGTTTATATTGGCTTTTCTCTGTATATGTGTATCGTAATTTGGATATAAAGATGACAATATCCAAGTTGTTAGACCAATCATATTCCACATGCATATGCACATGTACAACTTCTGAAGTCGTATATTTTTAGTTCTACAAATGTTACCTGACATTACTTGTACAATGCTATAGAAATATTTTTTGATGAAAATTTTGAAAAGGTCAACATTCAAATTCAGTTTAGTTAAAACACGATTATTACTTTTTGTTTCAGACTCAAGGGCGTGAATCAATTGCTGCTAAGCTTGTAGCAAATTTAATTACAGAAGCAGGTGCAAATCGTGTTCTTGCATGTGACCTCCACTCTGGGCAGTCTATGGGTTACTTCGATATTCCAGTTGATCATGTGTATGGACAGGTAATAGATTATAGTACATAGGTTGTCATTAGCTTATAATAGTTTTGAAGAATAAAATATGTGGGATCTGCTAAACACAAACAAACATGCTATGAGTGTGCTGTATATTTGTAATAATTTATAGTAAGTTAATAATTTGTTACTTTATTGAGGCATCTCAATTCCGAATGGAAATGACAATGTTCTATCTTGTGACATATTTCAGGGTCCCATTGTTCATCTGTGGTTAATTGTTCTACCTTGAAACTGTAAATGTAATTCATTTCATTGATTAATCATATGTTATTTTGTGCCACTACCAGCCTGTTATTCTCGATTACCTTGCCAGCAAGACTATTTGTTCCGATGATTTGGTAGTTGTCTCGCCAGATGTTGGTGGTGTAGCTAGAGCACGTGCTTTTGCCAAAAAGTTATCTGATGCTCCTTTAGCTATTGTTGATAAAAGGCGCCATGGGCATAATGTTGCTGAGGTATGTTAATGCACTTTTCTTCAGATCACTCGGGATTGACTGCATTCTATTATTTTTTCCCTTTAATCTAATGAAGCATATTTAACTTCAAGATTGAAGAAACTTTAGGTTTTTCTTATTGGTTGAACCTCATTTTGCAGGTGATGAACCTGATAGGTGATGTAAAGGGAAAAGTAGCAGTTATGGTAGATGACATGATTGATACTGCTGGTGAGTTTGTATAAAACTCTTGATGTGCTAGTGCAATATTGATAGCTTTTCTCTGTGACCCTTTAATCAGTTAGGTTAGTGACTCAAAACTTATACATTTCTGATCAATAAAAGGGCTTTACTCAAATTCGTTTACCATTTTTCTTTTTAGCTAACTAAATTGGTACTATTTTATAGTCCTTATTCATAAAAAAGACTCAAGAGAATTGAGTACACAAATTTCATTAAAATAGGTCCTCACCCTCTGATAATTACTTAGTATGCTTGATTTGGATTATTAAATATGATTATATTTAAACTTCGGAGTTGTTTTGTTAGACAAAAGTTACTGGAAATAAATGTATTAGTATATTTTTTAATGGTGCACTGCATTGGGTCGTATTACTGTTTCTTGTAGGAAAAATACTTCAATTGATAGCTTTCCAGACTTGGCTTTGGAATTGATGAAATTTTTTAAGGAAGTTATCATTTTGATTTGTTTTGGGACTGCACAGCTTGCATATTCTTGATTTTTTTTCAACTTTCTATGATGATTTTCTTCTTCTGTTTCTTATTACCCTTGTTTGTACTTTAACTTCCCCTTATTCTTGAAAGCTTTCAAGGAATACCTGAAACCATTGAGTTTCTGAATTTTCTTTTTCTAACTTAGTTTTGTCAATTTAGGAGAGAGAAAGATACAATAGTGAGATCCTATTCAGGTCCGCCAGACCTGTGCTGGAGATGTGAGTTCCCATGTACAATGCAGGATGTTGTAAAATGAAAACATCGCAATAGGAACTAAGAATCCAAATTGAATTATATTTTTCTTTGCTACACCTATTCTAATTTGTCATTTCTTGATATGGTTATGGTATCAACTATCAAGGCATCTATTGAAATAGTCGCAATGGGAGCTAAAATGAAAGAAGCCAAATTGAATTATATTTGCCATTGCCAAACCCCTTCTTATTTGTCATTCATTGTCATTCGTTTAATTAGATTCTAACAAATTGGTATGTTGGACACGTGTTTTGTCCAAACTTTAGAGGGCAATGGGCTTTTGTTTGAAAGAGCATGTTAGAGATGATAATAATTCCAGGCTTTATACCTGTCTGCTTACTCTTGATGGTTGCTTCCTTGGCCTTAAATTAATCAATATTCATTTGGCGTAACTATCTTTTGCTAAAATTTTGGTGCCACTAGAGATAATTTGTACTTCTAAGGTTCTTGGTTGTTTGTGTCAATTCTCTCTTGCTACAGCTTGGTAAGACTAAGTCTTATCAATATTCCTCTCAATAAATTGTGAATTTGTCATATAGGAACCATCGCCAAAGGTGCAGCTCTGTTGCATCAAGAAGGGGCAAGAGAAGTCTATGCATGCACTACTCATGCTGTTTTCAGGTATAATGGCCTTATATATTCTTTTAATAATTTATTTCCATCTGGGGTTTGTGCTGCTGAGGCACTTTAATCAGGTCAATTGGGGTGCAATGAAAAATAAAGGGGCTTTTGTTCCTTTTTCGCTATATGGTTACTGCTATTTTGCCTAGATTGATCTCAATAATTATGGAGAGTGTGGTAAGTATGTCTGGGTACGAGTTGGTTTATACTGTACCAGTTTCTTAATTGATAGTTTGTTGATCTAAGAGTGACCTAGATATAATTAATGTGTTTTTTTCCTTGAGACAGTAACCTCAAACAGCTTTTGCCTAACAAGGGATGTTTTCCTTATGAAAAAATCACTCAGTCTTTCTCATGTTTTCCTTTATATTTTGTCCTTAAGATTCTTGTGGATCACAATACAGTAGAGAAGATTATGAGGGGCATCCTTTGGGCAAGGGTTGGGGATGCTGAGTGGGATCATTTGGTGAATTTTAGTTAAAACCATTGTAAGCCTTATCTAGGTCTTAGACATGGATACATTGTAGGACCATCTCCTAGCTAGTACAACAGTTATTATTGGGAAAAATCCAAGTCCCTCATCATATAAAGATATGGCCTGACTGTTTACCTTGGGTTTTGGTAAACAACCGCTGATCCTCCAAATGGTTACTTATTTGGTTACTCGCAGGATCGATCAGATTGATCCTAGGACATAGGTTGATTTTGAAGTTTGATTAAATTGGATAAGGCTTTAAATAAAAAGGTTTCAAGTAAATTGCATGAAGGAAAGACTTGGTAAAATAAACAAGGCTTAAAGTAAAAGGTTTCGACAGGAATGTAAAGAGGAAAGCGAGTAAATTTCTGGAAAAGTAAATGACTTTGATAAATAAAATTGGTGTTTCACACATACATTTCTCAACAATTCTTTCTCACACGCTGGGTACTCGAATCTATATGAGTGACTTTGTATGGAATTGTGAACACCCGCGAGAAACTACATGTCTACTCCTATTTATACTAAAACATCCCAAGTAACCGTCGGGCAGTTACACTGCTTCGAGATCAATCCACTTGGCACGTTCTCCATGCTCGACGCCCCAGATCCTTGCACGTTTGCACGTAGTAACTGCTGGAAACCGTTTTCCCTCCAAAAGCTTTGAATTTCAAACTGCTCCACCCTGAACCGTCGAACACTTTCGTCAAGAGACATCTTCGACGAGAAACTCCTTCGACGTCGAAGGCAACCAGCCTTCTTCCTTGGAAGAAATCTTCTAAGTACTTTGCCATCTTTCGACGGGCATTTCGACAGACTTAACCAGTCGAAGACATCCTTCAGCTTTAATGGCTGACATCAATCAAAACAAAGGTGTCGAATTTAGGAGCCAACAAATTGCCCCCCAAGAATGCCTTATTTCGACTCTGAAAGAAAAAAGCATTCTTTGAAACGCCATTCGACACCTGTCTTTCCACGCTTAGTCACAAATTAACTTGTGCACTTTTTGTTGCTTTTTACCAACTATTGGCAATCCCAAGAAAACCATCATTGATTTGATCCTAGGACGTCACTTTCAGTACGGCGTGCAGTACCAAACGTCATTTCAGAATTTGTCATTATGACAATTCTAAAAAACGAGGACGCACGCTGCGTCCCTCTATTTCTGCAGAAACGGCCAAAACAACAGGGGGCTGCCACGCGTCCCACTAACTCCTGCAGCATTAAATGGCATTTAATGTCCTCGTTTTTGGGGATTTTTCCCACTACTATAAATAGCAGTGAATATCCCATTGTGGGACTTTTTACGCCATCTAGCCTTTCAAACTTCTCTGTTTTCATACAAGCTTGTTATCTTTGCAGAAACTCTTCCTCTTTCACTTCGTCTTCAACCTTATTTCAAACTCCACACTAATCCATGGCGTCTGGTTCTACTGCTCCTAGTGCTAACGCACCAACTGAACATGCTAAACCCAAGGTTTTCGTCACTGCTCCGGTAGTAAATTCTACAGGCAAACGAAGGGTTCCTGAACCTTCGGACATCGCCGTTCGCGATGCCTACTCACGCCATTTGATGATCCCGGTTGGATACTCCAACCAGATCTTTGCAATGTCTGGCCCCATGAATCCAAGTATCTCTGAAGCTCTGAAGATCAAGAGCTATTTCTCGATAGTCGAGAAACTCAAACCAGTCGCATGCGCCAAGAAAGACGCAGAAGACAATGAAGACCCTGCACGTGAAAAAATCGACCTCCGCTTCTTCAACAGAGGACAAGAAAGACGCAGAAGACAATGAAGACCCTCACTTTCTTCATCACTCCCAGATTCGACCACCAGTGCTGGCCGTTTCTTGGGCGAAGGTGCCTAGAAAACCAATGGGAATTCGATTTAATAATTACATCGAGAATCAAAAATCGAAAGCCAGAAGAAAAATGAAGAAAATCTGGTTACCGATACAGAAGGCTTCCTCGAAGAGTCTTCCCCCTGTTGGTTGCTTATGGTCTTCGCCGGCGCTGTAGTCTTCGCCGGCGGTGGAGGTTTTGTTGAAGGGCCTCCTCCCTGTTGGCCTTCTGTAGCCTTCTTGGCTACAGGCTTTCGAACAACTGGAAACAAATAAAAAGTTAACAGGCTAGCAGTCGAAGAGAAAGACAAAAAGTAATGTGAGAGCATGAACTTACATTTCTTTATTTTGTCCAACACAAGGACAAAAGACTTCTGCAGCTCATCCATGAAGTCCTTCTCGTCGAAGAAGTACTCAGCATAGTAGCTTTTCCACCACTCCTCGAAGGATGGTGAACAAAGAAAATTGAGCTGGTAGTCAAACAACGAGAGGATTGTTCGACCAGCATATCTTCCGATATGCTTGATGGCAGCTTCTTCTGTGTAATCATTGCAGAAGTACAGCATGGACTTCTCTCTTTGAAAAATCGGAGAAGATAGGGTTTGGATAATACCAAACTGGCGAGATACCAGGTTTGGTTGGTATGCAATCAGACTCAAATGAGTCTTTGAGCTCTTGAATCGAAGAGGCATGATCCTTGGTGTAAGGAACGCCTCCCAAAGTATTGTATGCTCATCGACATTAGGACCGCTCGACGCCCTTGGATGTGGCCTTGTGAACCATGCTGGCCCCACCCGCCGTTGAGCAAATGGAGCCATAGTCGAAACAAACTCCTTCCTTCGAGCAAACATTAGAACGAAGTTGGTGAAGGTTTGCTGGAACTCCAGTCCATCGTCCATAGGTGTCAGCAGAGCCAGCCTGGTTCCTTCGACGCGTCTATTCGCTATCGCTGGAGCCTGTTCATTTATCTGAACCTTCTTGGGCAAGAAAGATTCGAAAGTGGCATTGAGCCACAGTTGGAGTAGCCAAAAAGGCCCAGCGAGTAGCAAACTGGCCCTGTCCTCGATATGTTTCAGAAGAGTTGCCCCATTGCTGATCGAATCATAGAGGCTAGCCAGAATCAGTTCTGCCAAACAGATGTTTTGGCGGTGATGCAGTTGAGTAGCAAGAGTGACCATCTTTTTGGTCACTTGTAGAGACTTCGAGCAAAACACAAAGCGAGTCAGCCATAAGGCTAGAAACGCTATGTGTTCGACATCCGACACAGCATCTGTCGACCTGTCGTGATAATGGTTGATGAAAGTGGTGTATGTTGGTTTGGTCTCAGAGAAGCCAATTTGGTCCTCCGACATCTCCTCCGGATCGAAGTAATCCCCGGTGGGTCGAAGGCCAGTAATAGCGGCCACATCGAAGAATGTGGGGGTTAGCATCCCACAGGGAAGGTGGAAAGTAAAGTGGGAGTAGTCCCAGAACAACAGTGAAGCTATCAGCATCTCCGGGGAGTAGTTCAAACCTGTCTTCGACAGCATCACTAGGTCGAAGATTCCCATATCCTTCCAGATCGAAGTTTGGTGCTTCTCCAACTTTGTTAGCCAGGCAACATAATCGGAGGTAAGGTTAGGGCAAGACCTGAAGACCCTAACACCTCTGTTGAAGAAGCGGAGGTCTTAGGGTCTTCAGGTCTTGCCCTAACCTTACCTCCGATTATGTTGCCTGGCTAACAAAGTTGGAGAAGCACCAAACTTCGATCTGGAAGGATATGGGAATCTTCGACCTAGTGATGCTGTCGAAGACAGGTTTGAACTACTCCCCGGAGATGCTGATAGCTTCACTGTTGTTCTGGGACTACTCCCACTTTACTTTCCACCTTCCCTGTGGGATGCTAACCCCCACACTCTTCGATGTGGCCGCTATTACTGGCCTTCGACCCACCGGGGATTACTTCGATCCAGAGGAGATGTCGGAGGACCAAATTGGCTTCTCTGAGACCAAACCAACATACACCACTTTCATCAACCATTATCACGACAGGTCGACAGATGCTGTGTCGGATGTCGAACACATAGCGTTTCTAGCCTTATGGCTGACTCGCTTTGTGTTTTGCTCGAAGTCTCTACAAGTGACCAAAAAGATGGTCACTCTTGCTACTCAACTGCATCACCGCCAAAACATCTGTTTGGCAGAACTGATTCTGGCTAGCCTCTATGATTCGATCAGCAATGGGGCAACTCTTCTGAAACATATCGAGGACAGGGCCAGTTTGCTACTCGCTGGGCCTTTTTGGCTACTCCAACTGTGGCTCAATGCCACTTTCGAATCTTTCTTGCCCAAGAAGGTTCAGATAAATGAACAGGCTCCAGCGATAGCGAATAGACGCGTCGAAGGAACCAGGCTGGCTCTGCTGACACCTATGGACGATGGACTGGAGTTCCAGCAAACCTTCACCAACTTCGTTCTAATGTTTGCTCGAAGGAAGGAGTTTGTTTCGACTATGGCTCCATTTGCTCAACGGCGGGTGGGGCCAGCATGGTTCACAAGGCCACATCCAAGGGCGTCGAGCGGTCCTAATGTCGATGAGCATACAATACTTTGGGAGGCGTTCCTTACACCAAGGATCATGCCTCTTCGATTCAAGAGCTCAAAGACTCATTTGAGTCTGATTGCATACCAACCAAACCTGGTATC